TATCTCATAGAGCCGAAATATCCAATCGATGCAATCGACCACAAATGCATTATCCGTTGTCGAAGGAATAGATAGGATACATCGACATCTGCCTGGAACTAACACGCTTATCGTGTAGGTCAAGCCTTCCTCTTTCCAATGATGGTTTTTACGAGTACCATGCCATCCTGGGTCCCGAGATATGGCCAATCGCGTGAGACCCTGTTTTCGGGACACTAATTGGCATTTTACGTTAATTGTTTTTCTAGCAAGATGGTTTTAAGTCGCTCTTGCTTGGTTCTTTCCTCCTCCTGCTTGGTTTTTTCGCGCTCTTGCTTGGTTTTTTCGCGCTCTTGCTTGGTTTTTTCGCGCTCTTGCTGCGCCTTCTCTTCTTCTTGCTCTGCCATCGCCCTGACCCGCCTGCTGTGGTACGACACATCTTGCGTCGTGAGATCATGCGAAGTCGGACTTAGTGCTCGCTTCGTCATTGTCGCGCCGAATGATGGAGTCGAGGAACTTGAAACGTCAAGCGCGATACTCAAGGTTTCCGGCGCCAGTGTCCCGGGGTCAAAGTCGCGGTCATTGTCGTCGCACTCAGTGTCCAAGGCAGGCCCCATCCCAAGACGAGACTTGATCCAGGGACCGATGAACTCGACTATCGCCTTGGCAGTCTTGATGTCCTTGAAACTGGACGTCCATGCGCGCTGGTAGTCGAGCAGAACGACTCGACTGTGGTCGCCTGGGTCCGAGATCGTCGAGTTGGAAACCAGGATGATCTTGACGATGCCGAGATGTGTCATCAAGATTTCTTGGAGCGTCAACTTCTGCGACGTTTTGGAGTGCACAAAGCGTTTGGACTTGAACGAGCTAATGGGCAGGGTAGCGTTGGAAGTCGCCTTAGCTTGTACTCCGATGTGGTTGATGAACTCTCGGAGCTCGTTGTTCGACTTGTAGTCCTTGTACTGCTTGCACAGAACGTTTGCGCTTGCTTCGTCGGCCGTGAGGTAGCCATCAAGGAGCGGAAACGACGCTTCGGCGACCGACGTGTGTTTGTAGAGCCCGAGCTCGGCATGGCCGATGCGGCCTCGGAACGCCGTGTCGTGTTCGAGGGCCCAATGAAACAGTGCCAAGAGCACGGTTTCATTTCGAGACGTCGGCACGTTCAGATCGAAACGCTTGGAGACGAGGCCGGCAAGGGCGATCAAGTCGAGAGCACCAGCATCTTTCTTTCCACGCGTCTCCAAATTAGGAACGAGTAGACTAGTGTACTCGGCATCGGAGACCGTGTCCACCAGACCACGCGCTGGCTGTCCTGCCATCGCCGGCTGCCCGGAATATGATGACTGCGTCGTCGCGAAATACTCAATTGGAACGGTGGTTTTCTCAGACACAGCCATAAAAACGGTCGTCCATGTGGTTGACACCCAATCTCAATGCAGACCTGTAGTACTGGACAAGGCAACTTTGACTGCATCATGAATCAAATTGGGGAGTGGGGAGATTTCAGGTCGGCGCCAGAGGAGCACGACATGCTTTTTAGGAAGGCGGTTTATCCGGCGCCACGGGAACGATTCCTCACGGAGTCCAAGTTTCTTTATTCAGTACAATTGTACCGGTCTGATTTGAGAAAGCCTTTCAACCACATGGACCAGGTTTCTCGGGCTGTGTCTGAGAAGGAAACCCTCCGTTCTTGTAGAATACCTCCCCATTAGCAGGTAGCAAATAGGTTCGTCCCACTCTGCCCGGGCCAAGCCCAAAGCGTGAGTAATGCTCGCACCGACGGCAAATCCAAGATATAATCCCTATACAAGACGAAACGAGGCAACTTTACTCGTGAATAAAGTCATAACGCAAAATCTCTTACGGCCATCTTCTTTGAATTGTTGCAGGCTTTAGAATGAGCCTTCATGGAGCTGCTAGATCGTTGTGTAGCGCGAGAAATCGCGCATCGCTTGAAGCCCCAAAATGACTTGATTTTTGAATACGAATCTGAAAATGGCATATTTACGCACGAAGAGAGAGAAAACGCAAAATCCCGCGCGGCCATCTTCTTCACAATAGCGTGGGCTATTAAAGGAGCCTTCATAGAGCTACCAGATCGATGTATTGAGAGAGAAAACTTGGATTTGGTAGAGCGTGAGTAGCGCCCAGTTTCCTGTATGAAGGCTGGATACAGCGCTTATGGCCTCGTATCTTGTATTAATTCTGTATCCAGCCTTCATACAGGAAACTGGGCCCCCTCGCCCCATTGGGCCATCTATAAATGTCGCAAATCGCTTTGCGCCGGCAAATTTGTTGCAAGTGGGACGTCCCGATTTTGTTGCCATGCGCACTCGTTGGTCTCGTTTGCTCGACAACGACAACGACAACGACAATAACCATTGAGCCAAGCCGATGTCGGTTGAGCATGACGCAGACAGCCTCCACTGGCTCGGCTCGGTAGCGGTTCGCCGTGTGGTGATGTGGCCGAACGAGGTACTTGTGGGGTTGGAATCCAAATGTCGACTGAGTTATTTTATCCTAACACCTGCCGGGCGACCCTTCTCCCGGGTCAGTTGGTGTCTCTTCCTGCGTGTGCTGGTGCTGTTGTGGCATCGTGTCCGTCACGGGCGTGTCGCGCGTGTCCTTGGGCGTTGGCCCCTCTTCTCTACGTCCGGTCGTCGGAGCAGCGGCAAACGTTCGTTCGTAATGTCGTCGCCCACACCGAGTACCACCGGGGCCATTCGGCTCATCGACGCGCCGTCGTCCGACCACACACACATTCTGCTCGACATGCACTCTTCCGTCGAACGATCGCTTCACCACAGCCGTGATGATGACGTCAGGCAAGCGGAGCAGGCGCACGAGCTCGACGATATGTTGCTTGGTGAAGCGTGTGCGGAGCTTGTACAGGCAGTCCGCCTCGCTTTGCACGCCAACGTCGAAACGGGTACAACTTGGGATGGAAATGGCAAATGGCACGAGAGCCCTCGAGGAGTTGTTGGGCAAGTAGAGCGACGAGTGGAAGCGAGAGCAGTATGTGCTTCACCGCCGTGTTGAGACCCAAGCCCTGAGAGGAGGCTTGAACACAGAGATGCAAATTGGAGAGTGAATTATGTAGTTATAGATGAGCTGGTCAATATTGTCCTAGACACGTAATACAAAAGACACGCAGGACCAGCATGGAGAAGACCAGAACGGGGACGAGGCGAGCAGAGATACAGAACGGGGACGAGGCGAGGGAGACGAACGGGTCACATGGTGCTGCAGGTGCGCTGCACCACAAGTACCGTATACCTCAAAACAACTCACCTCGCGATTTTACCCCTAACCTCGATTTTCCTCAAAATAACTCACTACAAAATAATCCCAATTTTGGCCCTCACAATAACTCACTATCCAAATTTTCATAATGCACCGTATGGTGTCAAGCGCTGACTCGAAATCTCAGAATAACACACCACGACATTTATGAAGCTGGTGTTGACCTTGCCCTAGTCGAGGGTGAAGGGCTGCAAATTGGTGAGCATCGCGGCAGACATGTTCAAGCCGTCTACGTGGGCCTTGAACCGATCTTGGTTGGTCGCCCACGGGTTCATTCCGCACGTGTCGTAGGCGTCGGCGATCCATCGACGAGTGCGATTGTCCTTGATGTCGGCGTAGACCTTCTCGACAAAACCGAAGACGCGGTCGCGTCTGACGCGAAAGAGATCGCCCGGCGTCGCATCGCCCAGGGCGTCGATGCGGTGACCGTAGTAAAGCTCGCGGAGTCGAGACTTGATAGGCTTGCTCAGCGCGATGTCGCCGACTTGGTGAATGCTCGTCATGCCTTCACGGATGTCCTCGAGGGAGATGCGTCCTTCACACTCGGCTTTGACAAAGACGTCGACGGCTTCGCCAAAGTGAGTCGTCGACCGGTCCACGAAGACACGCGGATCGTGTCTTCTGAGGGCTCCTTCTCCTGAGTGCCACAGTGTTGGTGCGGATAGCTCTTGGCAGAGAAGACAAACAGACCCCGGGTCGTGAAGGCGACGGTTTCCACGTCGATACCGAACGCCAAAGTGACGATGGACACGTCCACCATCGACCGCCATGTCCTGTCCTGCGCCAGACCGGCCAGAAACACATCAAAGTTCTCGGTGTGGACGCCGAGTTGATGATGGATGCGAGCACAAAGCCCTCGATTTTCACCAGAAGCGAAGTCGAAGAGACGGCCACGGAGCTTCTCGGCACTGGCACAGTTGAGGTTGCGAGATGCCACGATGCTGTGGAAGAGGCAGTTGCCGTCGCCGGGGACGTCGATGACGGAGAAGGTTTGCTCGTTGATCATCACAAAGGAGGGAATTGCGGTCATGTTCATGCTGGCTTGGGGGACGAGGTGCAATGTAGGAATGAGAGTTGAAGAACATCAATTTAATTAGGTACCGGTACCGCTCAGGGTCACGCAAGTCTCTCTCCCAGAGGTCTCTCCCAGTGCCGATGTCTCTTTTTCAAAAGTTGGATCGTGCAAAAACCCCTGAAGAAGAGGAATTGAACCCGCGCCGCAACAACGCGCACTGCTAACTGCGAGCTCTAACAGCTACGCTACGACGCCGTAACACGTTCATTACTTGAGCATCTTTAATGTATAACGTGTAACAAGCTGTAACGCGGCGTATTGTATCACATCATAATATCACACCACTGCCCAATTTGGATGAGACCTCATAATAACTCATTTTTAGGGAAATTGCACATCATAAATTTTCCTCTTTTTTGGCCGATTTGGTGGGTGAGTTGTTTTGAGGTATACGGTACGTCTTCCATCGTCCGAACGATGAACTGTGAAATTCTGCATTTGCGAAAACAGTGCGCACCCCACTCGTATTCACGAACCGTCTCGGAATTCTAACGCGAAAAGTACACGTTCCGTTTCCAAGAAGTGGAAGAGGTTTTCCGCGCAGGGCCGAGCGTTCTAGAAGACCAAGATATGGAAGCACGCACACGTTACAAGATCCAGGCGCAGAGCAAGCGGCTCGAGCCATCCACGAATTTGTAGTATCAGCCAAAAGCTAAGCTTCTGCAAGTACCTTGCTTTCTTACGGCCACATATGCCGCATCTGCGCGGCAACCAAGGCCCCAAGCTTAGTCTCTCGTTGGTGATTTCCAGCTCGGTGCGCCTCAAGGAAGACGCTCAGTGGCTGGCGTCATCATTGACGAGTCCGACACCATCCGCACGCTTGCCCGGCCTCGACGAGCGACGATCAGCTGGCGCACGCGACGGTGGCCGTCGGGCGCGCGACGCACCATGGCTTCGATTACCTTTAGCCAAGACGCTGACACCCTTCGCATCTACGCCTCCAGCGCGAGCATCGCGCACGCAACCGCACTGCGGCCACTCGGTCGCTATACCAGCATACACGAGCAGCCCAAGAGCGCGCTCAGGATTCTACCTACTCATACCAAGGGCACTGGCGATTTACTAACA